TTGCAAGCCTCCAGTCGACTGGGACCTCCCAGCTAGCCAAGCTGGTCTGCTAGTACATTTTTGGCTACTCACTCTGAATGAAGCCATTTGCCATCAAGTAGAATGAAAACAAAATGAGCAGTCACTTGATCCCTAGAAACACTGACACTTCTTTACAGCGATGGTGGGTTCAACACATTTTTCATGGGCTAAGAACGGGCAGAGGCAGAAACACATTAGAACAAATAAGCTAAATAGTTCCTCTTATCTAAAACTAGGTAGAGACAAGCTCTACTTATTACAATGAGGACTTTAGACCTCAGAGAGCATCTGTGGCATTTGATATCTGCAAACCAATCACTGAAATTCTGAACTTGTACAGCTTCGTGTTGCTGATGAGGCTGTGGTTGAAAACTGACACATTGATTAAATGGAGCCTTCCGTGTGATTCAACAAACTCCTTGACCAAACTGTTCATCATCACTGGTGTCACTGACTCCATGTCTTGTCCCAGCAGATCCATCACCCTACTGTCTCCAGTGAAACCGCAGGCAATCTCTTTTCCTTGCGGCATGCTTCTAACCTTTGAATTTTCTGATGCTTGTCACACGTCTTAATCTGCCAAGATTCGACTTTGGGGCAAGCATGTAACAACAGCCTATAAAAACTGTAACAAACTTATTTATGAAACACTTAAAATGTCACAGGATTATTTGTTCAAACTGGTATCAAAATCTTGTAGTTGAAGTTTTATGCTTCTTAAAACAAAAGATTATCAAGAGAGACACCCAGTTTGGATAGGGTGTAGATAACCATGGAGCAAACAGCAAATGAAGCATGAGATGCAGGACTCTCAATAGATGTACTGCCACTACTCACAGATTGCCTCTTTTTGTCACATTAGCTTTTCATTTCCACTCCTGTTCTCCTGACACATCCACATCTCTGATGGGAGATGCACAGCAGCAGGAACAGGGAGAGGACATGTATTCTCATAAGAGCTGCAGTAACAGCACAGGTGTGCTGCACACCTTGCTCTCTGACCCAGCTTACTGGACGCACCAGGACCCATGAACTCCGGTCCCTTCTCACACTGCTAATCCCTCCAGATTTTGGAAGGGTGCATGAAACTCCCTTCACCACTGCAAAGGCAACAAGAAAATTATGCATCTCTGCCCAATCAGTAAAACTGCCTCCTTTCACGTACATTCCAAAGCCTCTGTTTTACCCTAACAGAGGTAAAAATACACCAGAATTAGCTTTCCTAAAGGAAGAAGGACACTCCTTTTCCACTCTGCTTTTCTGCTCTGAGCTGCCCACAGCCCACCCCAAATCTGTGCCCTGGCACTGGGACACCGCCTCATGCAATTGCTGTCCCAGTGTTACCAACACATCAGTGCCTCAGACCTGCTTTTACACCGCAGCAACTTGTGTTGAGTTGCAAGATACCATCCTGTACCTTTCCTTCACCTCTTCCTCTTCCCGTTTCCTCCTACACTCCTCCTCTTCTTGCCATTGTCTTTCCTCTTCCTCTCTTCTGATCTGCTCTTCCTCTTCTCGCCTCCTTCTCTCCTCTGCTTCCTGCTTCTGCCTGAGTTCCTGCTGCAGCAGGTGCTGGTAGAGGCTGCGAGCCAGGCGGCCACGCCAGTGCTTCTGCAGGGTGACTGCAGAGGCCTTCAGTCGCAGCAGGCTCTTCTTCCAGAAGTACGCTCGGTAGTTCTTTTGGATTATCACAACACTGGCTAGCACCTTTTGATACTTCTTCCTAGAAACAGAACCAGACACTTAATGCGCCAAGAAGCAATACGTACCTTGCATTTCCCGTGACCTGGTGTATCGACCAGTCTTACCACATCCACAGAAGAATTAATTTGGAAAAACATTGCTCAGAAATGACACAATTTCTGTTCCTCTACTGGCACTACCTGTAAATCGTATTTTTCTCACTGTTCTCACTCCTACATCTACCACTGCTTTGTTTCTGTGGGCACCTACTTTAGTGATGACTCTCTGAGGACAAAGGACAAATGTTTGGCACATGGAAAGAGAAAGTCTACTGTCCTGAAGTCTCCTTGCATTGCACATACACATATTCACTGTGCAATTGGCATCATTGCTCAATGTGGATTTATTACAATAAAAACACAGAAATGGCCTTACTGTATGAGAACAAAGTCCCATATTGCCCCATCTTTTAAGTGGCCAAAAGCAAATTACTCCAGGAAAAACAAAAACAGGGCAAAAATAGATCTGGTCACATTAATCTCGTATTGTCTGGGGGAAAACACAGTGATACTACAATATTGATTGCTGAATATGAGATTGTAACAGGCTCCCAGAAACATATACTTATATTGCACAACATTTTGCCTAAACAATAACGGTATCAAAATCAACTTTGCTGTACTTTAAAACCAAAAAACATGGTAGGGCTCCAAAAGAAAAGAATCGTTGTTCAGCATTTCTGTAGTCCAGTGAAGTTCTAGAAAAGTCAGTTCTTGCCTCTGCATTACAGAACGTTTTTATCAAGGACCTGAAAAAAAAAGTCACTGGTAGAAGTTTGTACACGATACACAAACTGAGCAAATAACAAAAGGGTTACTATTACACAGTAATCTGAATCAATTTGTAAGCTAGATTCAAGTAAACATTAAACAATTCCAAAAAGCCAAACATAAGGTCTTCTATTGAAGAACCAAAGGCCAAGCACACCCGACGTGGGACTGTGTTAGGAAGCAGCAAGTCAAAAAAGGATTTAGGAGCCCCCAGGGATCATCAGGTGAAGGCAAACTCCCAACACAATGCTGTAGAAAATAAATACTACTGGAATTCTACTTGCAAACAGAAATACTGTGTAGAAGGGGACTGCACTGCTACTTCCATCCTATGTTCAGCATTAGCACCTCCCTTTCAAGAACAAAGTTAGACTCTCAAGTGATTTCTGAGGAAGCTGCACTGGAACCAGAAATCATGGCTTATAGCAAGAGAGCACTTGCTCCATGACCTTAAGAAAGAGAAGGTAGAGGAAAGGCTTGATCCCAGCCAAAGTACCCACATTTTGGGGTGACGTTTCTATTCATCCAACAGGGGACATAACAAGATTTAATTGACCTGAAGCTGAAATCTATTCAGGTTGGAAAGAAGTGGACATTTTTTTGCAGTAACTGAATATATTTAGACACCTTAAT